TAAAACACGTTTTTGATCCAAAATCCACAATTCTATTACAAGGGGAAAAAACATAGTAACCACATTATATAATATATTTAATTCATATATATATATATATATATATATTTGGTTTTTTTTTTCTCTAGGAAACTTTTATATTCACCCACCATAAATATCTGACCACCTACTTGATGATCATTTTAATAATTGGGAAACTTATACCTCACTTGTTCAAAACTTTATTAACCAAACCGGGACTGATGCATTAAGTAAACATGTTTTTAAAGTTAATTTGAATATAAACTTAAAGCCTTGTCGAGTTTGCATTATTAATGAATTTAGAATGAAAATTTTAAATTAGACAAAACTCTGTGATTTTTATGAAAAATTTGGGCTCTGTAAAAAGGTTCAAAACTCTATTGAAACATGGATTATGTGTTAAGTAAGTCCACTTAAAATATCTTGAATTATATATGGTTAAAATTTGAGAAAAATTGATCAAGTATAAACAACAAAACGTAAAACCTTAAAATTTGCATTTTGTCAACTTTATTATAATAAAATTATGGGGTGGTCGGATACTTTTTTAAACCCGTTTCACGAACTAATTTATTCTGACACTATATTGTAGATATATGTAATCTATTACGTTGAGCACGTTTTATTAATGAAGCAATATACATTACAACGAAGAAATTTGACCTTTATTACATGTAAAGATTCCGATTGAAAACTTGCTTTTTTGAACTATTTGCTAAATTTTTCCATTAATAAAATACCAAACCTTTCGAAGATTTTGATATAAGTATAAATCTACTTAGTAAATTAAGAAAGGTTTTATTTAAGAAAACGTTGCTTTTTTAGTAAGGGACTCTTTTCATTTTACGTTACACGACTCAAAGTGGTCGGATATTTATGGTAGTGGGATTACTGCGTTCACAAAAGAATCGTCAATTAAACTGTTTACCGTATTCTCTGGAATATAAGCACCACCATTTTGACACGTTTTGGTCAACAAAACTGTGGGTGATGCTTACATTCAAGACATTTTATTTCAGATAATTTGTGTTACATTTATATGGGGATGAAAATGAAATGAGGAAGATGAACGGGAAATATTAAATAGAAATGATGATTCAGCTGATGAATTAGATGAATTAGAAGAGGAAGAGTCTGGTGATTCTGGAAAAGAATAGTCAAAGTAAAATAAAAATCTTATTTTTTATTATTATATAAAAATAAAATCAAATAAAAAATAATTCGAAATATATGTGGTGCTTATATTTATTTTTCTATTTTTTTGTTTTTTTTTTCATTGCAAATTCATACTGGTGTTTATATTCCAGAGAATACGGTATTCATTTTTACCAATTTAATTCTGTCTTAATGTTGATAATAATAGGCAATAATAAACATCAAGATCACGATCACTGCAGGAACAGGATCCCGCAAACTTCATAGATAGGTCAGTAATAAAAATTCTTGTTTGTTATATGATTTGACCCAGACCAAAACTAAGTTTAATATGTAATTGACCTTAAGGTTTGCAATAACATTAGAAAAAAGAACATAATTTGACCCATAATATATACTAACATTAAAATTTTTGAAACTGTCTACTGTTATAACAGAGTCAAATTATTTATAAATTTAAAAATTTATGTATGCATGTAGCACATAAATAATCTATTTTTTTTGTTAATAAGGAAAAAATTAATTTAAAAAGATACAAACAAAACTCCATGCATGCTGCAAATATATACTATATATATAATTAATTTTTAATTTTCAATTTTTCAGCTGCAAGCAGTAACCTATCTACGAAGTTTGCGGGAACTAAGTTTTATTAAACATGATTTTGTTCGGAAAGCATGAAATAAAAACAAGTTGCATCTTTAATAGACACAGATCCACTAGTGATGGGATAGATTGCCGACCAGATGGTAATTACTAAAGCACACTTTTGAGACTAGGCAAGAAAGTCAATATTAAGTGCAGCATAAATAATGCAGGCTTTAAAGAAGCAAAAAACAAGATTCAAAAACAGTATGCAATTCCTTGTACAATATCAATAATAAAATACCAAGCATACATTAATTATTTATTACAAAATATGAAAATTATCCATTATTTTCATAATAAATGATGCTAGAGGAGACTTTGGTGGTGTGACCATATGAAAAAGCAACAGCAAGCTTGGGATATGGTTTGTAAGCGAATCACACAAAAAAAAAACCAAATATTAATATAGTTTGTTGTATTCAAAAATAAGCACCTCAAGAGGCTACCCACCAGCCCATATCAAACAACTTTTGATGAATTAAAAAAAGGTGTTGTGTGTTAAGTTGTGTACCAATCAAGTTTGTTCTTTATATTACGAGAGAAAATTTACCCCATAAAAAATCTTGCATGGAAAACATGCAGAAAACAAACAGAAAAGCGGAATGTTTTCCGTATGTTTTAGTTTTACCAAACTATATAAAACTAAAACAGAAAATTTACGGAATCTTCCTGTAAATTGTATTTGTTGTATTCACACAACTCAATGTATGTTTTTGTAAAGCAAAAAATATCAATGTTTCTCGCAACACATGAAACTGGTGGTTACAATAGAAACTTCAGCTAGATTATATTTGACGTATCACGAACTTTAACTTGTGTAAAAGTAATACATAATAATGATAATGATAATTCAAATTTGGAAATCAAAAAAAAGCTTCACTTATCCTAGATTTGGTATTGTTATATGTGGAATTGGATATGAATTTCACGTGGATTTCATTTTCACGCACAAAAGTACCAAACTAAAAAACCAATCATTAATTCTTTATTATTATTATTGTGACCAAGTTATAACTTGCAATATAAGATGACCAGGATCGTTTGTGTAGATAGGATTAGTAGTGGCGAGGATTCTAGGACTGGAGGCGTATTTCATTTATTTAAAAATTTGTATTAACTTTTTTTTTTCGATAAAATAAAAAGTTGGAACAACTATATATGTATGTAGTACCTTGATTTATTATTGTTTAATTAAAGTTTCTTTTTTTTTTAAATAATAAAAATAAAGACAGTTACACTGAAAGTAAATAAGAAAGATTTGCATTATATAAATTTTTTTCTTTCTTGCGATTTCCCGAAATGGAATTTCCTTATAATAGGGATCTACGGGATGAAAATCCTTTTTTAACATGTTTTGATTCACGTGGGAAGGTTCGATTGTAACAACGAAAAGAGAAATTTCAATTTTATTCGAAAAATTACACCAAAAAAGTTCGTTGTCTGTCTGTTGTAATATGATTTAAATATAAATTAAATATCGGAGCACCCAGTTTTGGGAATTTAATCAGAAATCTTCGAAAATGGGGTTTCATTATTCAATTCTGGTTTCTCAAATAATAAAAAAAAAGTAAACTATTGTTTTCTAAATAAATATTTTTAGCTTTTCAGCAAAGAAAAAAAGAAAATAATCATACGACGGATGTTCTTTAAAGCATTCAAAATTTACTCGATAAAGATGATTCCGATGATGAACAAGTTAGCATATCGTTATATGTAAAATTAATTATTATATAAGCCAGTCTAATTTTAGAGTTTTTAAATCTTAATCAATCAAGATTATTGTTTCTATTGTTATTGATTCTTTGTACTGATAATAATAAATTTCCAAATATGTTCAATAATAAAGTAAATATTTGATAGTACGTGACATATTATTAAATTAATATTTTGATCATCAGATAAAGATTATATATACATTATGACGCGTTCATTATTATTTCAAATATTATTGTTATTGGTGTTCCCTGACAATATTTTTAGAAATTTCAATAATAATAAATGAAGGAATCAGAAAGCTTTCATTAAATAGAAAAAATTTGTTTTTATATTTCGTAATGTAAAAATTTTTTTTAATTTACTTTAACAAGTTTTAGAATGATTTGTTTCCCGATTTTAACTCACACATAATAATAAACATTGTCCCCCAAATAATGAGTCGAGAGCTTACAAGAGAATTACTTAGATTGGAGGATAGAAAACTTAATAAATTTAACGAATTTAACGAATTATGGAACGCAATAAAGATTAGTTCCTATTGACTTCAAAAATAAGCTATTTAAAAAAGAAATTGATGAATGACAAGGATGAAAAAGGATAAAAGTAAACGAACGAAAAAAGTACAAACACGCAATGGATCTGATTCGTTATTTTAATTAATTCGGATATTTCAAGAGCTTTACATGTGTTCGGCATCTTTTAAATATTATTAGTTGTCGTAAACTAAAATTAAATTTGCAAATCGTAACTATAACGTAATAGTAATAGAAAAAAAAAATTTTTAAAATGAAGTTATGTTACATCAGAAAATTTCATTGGTTTTGACAACAAGGTTTTTTGAAGGTGGGTCCTTCAAATTTGAAGCGATAAAAATAGAAATTATGTAATAAGACCATTACTATCTACGTCTGTGTGTAATCTCTCTTACAGATTTGCAAATCGTAACTATAACGTAATAGTAATAGAAAAAAAAATTTTTTAAAATGAGGTTATGTTACATCAGAAAATTTCATTGGTTTCGGCAACAAGGTTTTTTGAAGGAAGGTTCTTCAAATTTGAAGCGATAAAAATAGAAATTATGTAATAAGACCATTACTATCTACGTCTGTGTGTAATCTCTTACGGGATTCACCAGAAAATAATTTATAAATAAATTTGATTTTTATCTTGAAAAAGAAAAGAAGACAGATGAATAGACGGAGATCTAAGTGTTTTTTTTTTTTTACGTTCTTTTATATTTTTTTTTTTATAAACGAATTTCCAAAATAAATATATCTATAACCAATTTTGCAGTCTTCATTATATGACAAGGTTCGAGACTGTTTTTTAAATATTTACTTTCTGTGATCCAAAAAATCATTTCGAATACCAGTTACTATTACGCCACAATTTTCGTCGTCAATTGAAATACTGCGCCTGTATCACACAAATGGCTGACATGAAAAAAAAATAAAAAAATAATGTTTCAACAACAACTTAAAGGATTGGTATGTTTTAATATCAATATGAGATCAGAGTAAATATTAATATTTTCAAATAATTAGTTGTTTAAGTAGCTGTATTTTAATTAAATGAATAATTGTTAGTTGACAAGTAGTTTATATTCTAATATTTTAGATAACCCAATAAAATATTCATCAAGAACATTATTTACGTTAACAACTAATCAAAGATCTTTAAATCCAAGATTCAATAATCCATCATTTTTTTTATCATCCAGATACTTATCAGATAGTTTGAAAAAATCTTTAGACGAGGTATTTTAGTTATTTTTAAAGTGGAATCACCAAATGTTGGAAATGATTCATCAGAGAACTTATTTCATAATTTCAGACTGTAAAGAACAATGATGTTGTGTTGTTTATGAAAGGCACACCTAGTGAACCACAGATATTTTTTTTAAGAATTTCTTTATATTTTCCACATCTTATCATTAAAAGATTATGCATTTAACGCGCATGTGATCAACAAATGGATATAGCGCGGGTTTAGTGGAGCTATAGTTCTCAAGTTATTCACGTTTTCATACATGTTTATTTTATTTATATGTTTAAACGAGTGATAAAATTAGAGTTTCTTTCAATTCAAGATACTAGTGTTGCTGAGCAAACACGAACTGTCTACAATAGCTAGAACTTACTCATACGTAAAAAGTTGATTGATTAGTTAAACTGTGGAAATAATTATTAATTACAAGATAATCAAATAAAACTAGTGCAGTTTGGTTTTTCTTCTGAAACCAGTTTTTTGAGCTTTATACATAAAAGCATGCACGAACCTTAAAAACTTTTGTAATTAATTAGTACATTTTAAAAGCTTTCTATTCATTTATTTCCTTTTTTAGCAATCACGTATTGATAAATAAATCTACGGTTTTGTCTAATAAAAATAATATAAATAAATATTATATATTATTGAATAAAAATTTGGTAAAATGAGACAAATAAAAGGGGGTTTTTTTTTTAATTGAAATAAGATGTTCTTTGTTAGAAGGATAATCTTAAAAATAATCATAAAGTAAATATTTGTCCCTATTAAATTTGTAAAAATTTTCTGAAAGGTCGAAAACTTTATCCTTACGTCCGTAGTGATGTTACAAGTGAAATTGAAATCTATGATTAATATGGAGGAGTGTTTGGGTGCTAAATTATGACAGAGTAAATTCATTAAAAACAATTTATGTTGTAAAAATAGAGGGTTGCATAATGAAAGCTGTGTTAGAATTATTTACTTTTCAAAAAAATAAGTTTTTTCGATTAGAAAGATAAAAATAATCCTTTGAGAAAATTTCAATTGTGTGAAGTAATTCCATTTGTCATGAGCCGTATTCCATTGATCATTATCATACTGTATATTTTGAATTGAATTAAACTAAATAGAAAAACAACAAATGAGAGCCTTATATTTTTTCGATCGGATGATTGAATATTTGCTGAGTCAGTACTGAGTTTTCTCTGAGTTAATACACCACATCTTTATTATTTTCCTTTTTTAGATTATTCGGAATAATTTTTAAATTCAACTCTCTATATAATAATCATACGATTTTCGTTCGAAAAATCAAAAAAATCAAAAAAATCAAAATCAAAATTATGAATTTATTACCCGACATAATAAAAGAGAATATTTTTATATTCACTCTCAAACCTCTTTTCCTAATTTTGCTCGATAAAAAATGGTACGAAATATCGTGCGAATCAAGAATTCGAGCAAAATGGGTAATTCAAAATTACGGAAAAGCAAATGCCTTATTTCATTCAATCCGACTCGGAGAGAGTTTTATCTCAATGGAGTTGGTCAAATTTCTTATCACAAAAGAAAAAGTGATTTTATCTAGATATCTTTTACAACGATTGCTTTTACAGTTTGGGAAAACAGATAATGCTCTAATGGAACTAACCATCAGTAATGGCATCAATAACAATAATAGTAATGCAAATAACACGTCCAAAACTACACGAAATTATTTTAGGAATCCATGGGCTTCGAGTATTCCATTAGCTGTGTTCATCTATTTGTTAAAGGAGGCCAAAGAACAATACGGCATGGATCTTTACTTAAAAGGAAATGATATTGAAAAATTTCATTTCTTGACTGGTGGACCATTACCCATAGATTTAGCACTAGAAAAATTAAAAGAAAACGTTGAAGGAATTAAGGATCTTATACTTAATAAAAAATTTGTACCTTTTCCTCCAAGACCA